GCCCCTCCCCACCCTCCCAGCCAGGAATCCCTTCCCAATCTCCCACCCAAACCTCCCCTTTCCCAGTGGGATCCATTCCCTAGGTCCTATCCCTGCATCCCTTGATCCCCAGTCCCTCTCCAGCTCTCCTGGAGCCCCTTCAGGCTCTGGAATGTGCTCCAAGCTCTCCCGGGATCCTTCCCAAATCCAGCCTGGCCATTCCCAGCTCTCCCAGCCTGGAGCCAGAGCCTGACATTGGATCCATCCCCAGCCCAACTCCTCCCTGGGAAGGAGTTCCGGGAACAAGGGGCTTCCCTGGGAATCTCGGGGCTCAGGGCAGGGTCTCCCTTCCCCTTTCCTGCCTTTGCCATCCTCACATTCCAGAAAATTCCCTCTGACTGGATCCTGAGTATCCTTTATCAAGGAATCCTGGGATGGTTTGGGTGGGAAGGGGTGTTAAATCCCATCCCATTCCATGTTCAGGGACACCTCCCGCTATCCCAGGTTGCTCCAGCACCATCCAACTCTTCCAGGGATGGAGCATCCAGCACATCCTCACCCTGAACCTCTTCTTTCCCTTGGGATGAAAGACCTGGGAGCACTTTATCCCTGTTCCTCAGCCCCAGTGTCCTCCCAGTGTCCTCCCAGTTCCAAAGTCATTCCCTGCGGGATCACGGGCAGGAGGCTGGAATTCCATCCCTCTCCCGGGGATTCCGTGGGATCAGCAGCTCTCACTCACCTGGTTGGAGGACATGTTCTCTGCCTTCATCAGGGAGGAGTAGCTCCTGCCAGGAAAAAAATCCCACAGTTATCCCAAATCCCCCCAAAAAGCCCCCCAAAAATGGGCCATTTTGGGATCAAAAATTCCCGAATCCCAGAAATGCCCATTGTTTTCCTCCTGGAGCTCAGCCAGGGGGGATAATTAGTTGCTCATCTCGTCCTCCTCACTAATTAAACCCGGGGCAGGGAGGTTCAGGGATGTCTGATTGCCTTTTCCAAGGTTTTTTCCTTCAGGATCCAGCGGCCCGGAGGTGGGAAATCCCGGATTCTGGGAGCTCCAATCCCCCTTCCCTGACCTCCCCAGGGCTTGGATCCCTCAGGAAATCCCCAATTTCCTTTAAAATCCCTCTTTTGATGCCCTGCAGGGACAAACAGGAGCTCGGGGAAAGCTTCCAAGGGGAGTTTTTGGAGCGAGAAATCCCCGGGAACGAGGTCAGGGCGACATTCCAACCCCTCCTCCCTCCTTCCCTGCTCCCAGGAGGGGGGGACTGAGGGCTTTAATTAACTGTTAATGAGCAGCAGGGGTGCAAGAGGAAGGGATATTAATTAATAGGGATATTAATGGAGAGGGATGTTAAGGAAGAGGGATATTAATGGAGAGGGATGTTAAGGAAAAGGGATATTAAGGAAGAGGGATATTAATGGAGAGGGATATTAATGAAGAGGGATATTAAGGAAAAGGGACATTAAGGAAGAGGGGTATTAAGGAAGAAGGATATTAATGGAGAGGGATATTAATGGAGAGAGATATTAAGGAAGAGGGATATTAAGGAAGAGGGATATTAATGAAGAGGGGTATTAAGGAAGAAGGATATTAATGGAGAGGGATATTAAGGAAGAGGGATATCAAGGAAGAGGGATGTTAATGGAGAGGGATATTAAGGGAGAGGGATATTAATGGAGAGGGATGTTAAGGAAGAGAGATATTAAGGAAGAGGGATATTAAGGAAGAGGGATATTAAGGAAGAGGGATATTAAGGAAGAGGGATATTAAGGAAGAGGGATATCAAGGAAGAGGGATATCAAGGAAGAGGGATATTAATGGAGAGGGATATCAAGGAAAAGGGACATTAAGGAAGAGGGGTATTAAGGAAGAAGGATATTAATGGAGAGGGATATTAATGGAGAGGGATATTAATGGAGAGGGATATTAAGGTAGAGGGATATTAAGGTAGAGGGATATTAATGGAGAGGGATATTAAGGTAGAGGGATGTCAAGGAAGAGGGATGTCAAGGAAGAGGGATATCAAGGAAGAGGGATATCAAGGAAGAGGGAAATTAAGGAAGAGGGATATTAATGGAGAAGGATATTAATGGAGAGGGATATTAAGGAAGAGGGATATCAAGGAAGAGGGATATCAAGGAAGAGGGATATCAAGGAAGAGGGATGTCAAGGAAGAGGGATGTCAAGGAAGAGGGATATCAAGGAAGAGGGATATTAATGGAAAAAGATATTAATGGAGAGGGATATTTATTAATGGAGAAGGATATTAATGGAGAGGAACATTAAGGCAGAGGCAGGTGCTGAGCTCCAGGGAAGTCTCAGTGATTCCCAAAGCTCCCCCAGAGCTGGAAGTGGCCCAAGGCAATAATTCCCCAATTTCCTCATGTTTCCAAAGGTTCTGGACCTGCCCAGCCCTCGGGCAGCGGCCGGAACGGCCCTGGATTGTTCCCGGGAAAGCAGCAGGACAAAGGGAATCCCTGGGCCGTGGAGAACAGGGAGCAGCAGGGCCCGGTGACCCTCGGGAACGGGATCCATCCAGCCCTCACCTCAGCTCCTCCAGCTCCTTCTTCTTCTTCAGCTCCTCCTTCTCCCTCCTCTTCATCTCCTGGATCTGGGCCTTCTTCTCGTTGCGCTCCTCCCGATCCCGCGCTTCCCGCTCGGCCGCCAGGTCCGGGAAACGCTCCACCTTCGTCTTCTCCAGCCGGTTCAGGATCTCGTTCACCTTCTTCTCCACAGTCACAACCTTCACCTGGGGAAAAGAACCACAAAAACAGACTGAGGAAAAGCCCCACAAAATCAGAGTGAGGAAAAGCCTCACAAAACCAGAGCCTGAGGAAAATCTCTGTCACGAGGCTGGATCCCACAAAACCAGAGCCTGAGGAAAATCCCAGCCAAAGGGACAGATCCTGAGGAAAAGCCCTGCCAAAAGGGCTGGATCCCACAAAACCAGAGCCTGAGGAAAATCCCCACAAAACCAG